GCGTCGCGCTGATTGCCTCCAGCTGGGTCAGGGCCACGGGCCAGCTGTGATGGCTCGTATGAGATCGTGCCCGCTGCAAGGGGCACCATCTGCGTCGGGCCGCGGGCCACGCGCCGCCCGGGGCCGCCGCCTGCCCCGCCTCCGGCAGCCGACTAAGCAGCCGCAGCTCCCTCGTTGAACCTGGCGTGACCTCTGCTGTTGCTCTGTGCTCGGCGCCGGCCCCACATTTGCCCACCCCCCCCTGCAGGCCCGGCCACACGGGCTTCATGAACGCCGAGCGCAAGATCTGGCGCGACGACGACGGCAAGACCCTCGGATACATCAAAAACCATCGGTGGGCTGGGCTGTTATGGTCCCCGCCATGCCCGCTGCCCGCGCACGGGCGGCGTCCACGCGTGCCGTGCGTGCGGCTGCGGTGCCTCTTCGGATGCCCGCGTGGGCGGCAGGCCGCCGTCTTGCTGGCGTGTGGCCCTGCTCCTAGGGCGCTGCCTCCAATCATTCTGCTGGACTGACTCACCTTCCTGACGGCCTCGTTGTCAATGTTCCCACTGCACTTCACGCAGGACCCTGACGCACGTGGTCATCCGCAACGCAGGTGGGCGCGGCAGCGATGTGATGAAATCGCGTGACTCGCCGCAGCTGCCAGCCGCCACTTTTGCCCTCCCATCCCGCACCTCCAAAAAAAAACAGCAACGAGATGACTTGCACAAACCCTCTCCCCGCATGGTGTATCTTCTTGCTCGTTCCCCGCAGGCCACATGGTGCCCCACGACCGGCCAGAGGTGTCGCAAGCGATGCTGGAGACCTGGGTCGAGTCGACACGCAAAGGGGACGACCGCATGGCTGCGGCGGCCGCTGCAGCCGCCGCCCAGGGGGCCCGCGCTCTGGCGATGCCAACCGCAGGCGGCGCGGCTGACGTGGCGGCGTCGTGATGCCGGGCGGGCGCGGGCGCTGAGGGGGATCTGTCGGGTCTTGACAAGGTTGCTATTGGTTGAGTAGTTTGATGCCGCGTCCCAATGACCGGATTTACTTCGTGTCCGGTGTGCCGCACCGCGGCGGCCATGACTGCAAGCGCGAGCCGCCGGCCTAGCTCGTGAGCACGAGCCGCCTCTTTTTGCAAGGATTTGAGGGGGCGGCCGCGCACTGTTTGGGGCGCGCCCCGCTTACCACCAATTGCAGCGGCCTGAGGCCGCCGACGAAGGGGGCCCGAGGGGTGATCAATCCGCGCGCCTGACCCCCGAGATTGCCGCTGTGGCCCTCCGACTTCCGCCTTTCAAACGCTTCGTTGCATGCATCCGCGGCACCTAACCGACAAGATTGATCGATGGCGCCGCCGATTGCAGCGGCTGCTGTCATTCTTTTTTGAACGGCCCCACGAGCGACACTGCACAAGGACCAACGGGGGCGATCTCACACTCTTTGCACACGGCGCGGCCACGGCCGGGCCGTCCGGGCACAGCACAGCCCTGCAAAAAAGCCCCTTCCGCGCCGCCCGGTCGCCCGGGCGCGCTGCCATCCCCCACAATCGTCAGTCCTTCCCCGGACAGTGATCTACGTTGATCCGGCTTGCCAGCAGGGATGGCTTGAACGTTTTGCGTTTTTGCTTTCGAATTTGCACGTGCACCTGCACAAGCCTGCGACGGCGGCGCCGTCGCTCTCCCGCCAGTGGGGTGGAGACAAGGGCCGTGAGTAAATCCGCTGCGCTGCAGTCTCTGCTCTCTGCGGGCAGGCGACCGCGTCGGCCTCGGGCGGCCTGGTGCGGCAGTGGATGCAGAACAAAGGCGGTAGGAGTGAAACGAAGGGGCGGCATATGGCGCCACAAGTTAGTTATGAAACATTCTGCCCAAAAGAAAGAGGTCAACAGGGCGCAGGGGGTCACAGGAAAAAGGAGAGACTGGGTGAAGGGCCGCCGCATCCGACTGCGCAAACATATGCAGGCGGCCGTGCCCGCGCCACGCGCGAGGGCAAGGATGGGAGACGCGGTATGGTGCTGCGCCCGCGCGCCCCCACCCATCCATCATCAAGACACCCCTTCTGCAGCTGTGCGTGAGAGGGCGGGTGTCACCGATCCCACGCAAGGCGAAGCGCGCGCAGCCCGCGGTGCAAGGCTCAACCCAAGCTTGCAGGCTCAACCGAAGAGACAACCAAGTAGCAACTCAGCCGCAGGGCGCCACTGGAATTTGCCCTTTCAGGGCCCCTGGCCCCACCCGCAGGGCCCCTCGCATCCGCAACCACAGCCAGGGTCGCGGCCGCGCCCCAATCTCTCCGCCGCGACTGGCGCCCGTTTCGGGTAGATCCGCGCAACAAGGCATGCCCCCGAGGCAGCCGCAGGGCCCGATTGGTGCGCGCCGGGTGGCCAGCCAGCTCGGGCGTTTCACTCCTGCTCCTGCTTCGCCTCAACCGCGCCCGCCTGCCCCGCGCCGCCGTCCTCCTGCTTTGGCTCCGCCTTGACCTCCGCCTCTTCCCCGGCCGCCGCCTCGTCCTTCACCGCAGCCAAGGCCTCCCCCTCCCCCTCCTCCGCCTTCACGCCCGCCGCCTCCTCCTTGACAGCCACAGCCGCCCCCTGCTCCTCCTTCACGCCCGCGGCACCCTCCTCCTCCGCCACGCCCCCGCCGTCGGCGTCTGCGCCCGCGTCGCCGTCCTCCTCGTCGGCCGCGTCCTCCGCCTTGCTGCCGCCCTCCGCCTGCATTGCGTCGGCCGGCGGAAAGTTGCGCGGCCATCAATAACGAGCAGGGAGGGGTCGCCCTCGAAGGCCATGCGGCGACGCACCAGACTGACGCGCAGGCATGCCGACGCAAAGGGGTCTCCGCGGCCGCCCCGGCCGCGGGGCGCCTCACACACGCGGCCGCGTGCACGC